CTGTTGCTCACTCATTCACACAAACACCTTTGGACACAGAGGCCTAGAACAAAGCGTGAAATTGTAGGATGAGAGCCAGTCGTGTCAACAGGAGCCATTGTTCTCTGAACACCTTGTTCCTCTTGTGTCCTGATACTGCAACAGGCTCTCAACACAGGCCTCAATCCATGGTACATTCTGTATGGACATGAGGTTGTGCTTCATACTGGAACAGTTACATTCAAGGCTACAGAGAGAAACAAACAACCAGATGAAAGGTCAAGTGGAGCCATTTATAAATAAGTGTCAAATCTTGCACAGTGTATTGTTACCCCTGCCACCAAAGTAACCTCAATAAATTGTTTCTCCTCTTCCTCCCACTCCATTTTGGTGTGCTCTGGTTCCACAGCTGGGGTGGAGGCAGCCTGCTTAGCAGTGGGGCTTTGGAGATTTGGTCAAGTGATCCTGGGGTGCTTGTGTCTGGAAGGGCCAGATATGATGAGGGTCATCTTATCAGTTGTAAGTTGACACTTCTCAGTGTGGACTGCTTGGTTTCGCGGGGAATAGGAAATGTGTTGGCAAAGGGCCTGGCCACGTCTGGAGTGCCCTTAGTGGGGAATTGTCAGGGGGCTGCAGGTACTTCCCCCTCCTGCTGGGTGCCTACTGGCACTACCCTGTGTCCTTGTGAGGCAGAGACACCTGGAAGGCACGGCAAGTTCTCCGTCCCACTGTGTCCATGTCTCGGTCCTGAGGACCAATGGCTAGGCTCTGAGGGAGCTGGACCGGGTTCTTCAGGACAGCTGCCAATCTATCTGCCAATGGAAGCAGGCAGACAGTTACATGTGCCCCTGTACCCATCTGCTGTTCCTGTTCCTCCTTGTACATGTGGACAAGGTCCCAGATTGCCAACTTTACAGAGTCCTCTCCTGCCTGGCACTGAACAGGTGCCTGCCCTCTGCAGTCCTCTGTATGCCAAGGGCCTGGGGTATTTCTTGTTTGGTCAGTTGTAGGGCTGTTGCAGGGTGATGCTCACCAGCTTGTGCTCCCAACTCCCAACGAAACCTGATATTCCTACTGAGGTGTCCGTATTTGACCTGATGGGGATTGCAAGAGTGGGCCATGCTGATGTTCTCTCTGAGGAGTCAGTACTGTCATCCTCAGAGGCCATGGTCTGGGAGAGTGGGCTGTTTCACTGCAGAGGTGGTGGGCAAGCTAGCAGATCCTGGAAGACAAAGAGAGACAAGGCACTGTGTCCATCCCCACAGGAGCAGTCCTGGTCTTCTCCTGCAAGGAGACTAATTTCAGGCACTCTCCACCCGCCCAGGCTCTCCTTCCTGTCATGAGAGAAAGGGACAAATTAACTTAAATGAAAGCGGGTGGCATAGTTGTTACTGCTAGCATATGTGAGTGAGGTGTTTCATGGGGATGAGTAGGCAGTGCAGTTGGCACGCAAGAGTGGGTGGATAGTGAAGATGAGAGTGAATGAGGGAAGAGATTTCATGCAATACTGAGTATGACAGAGTATGAATCTTGGAGGAACGTGGGTGCAGTAGCAGAGGGAAAGTCAGTTTGAGGTAGGACAGAGAAGACTATGACACTTACCCTGGCAGAGTGGAGAAGGTCACTGATCATTTCATGCAAATGCTGGCCATTCCTCTGCACTGACCTACATTGCCAGGGTCTGGCGATGTGGCCTCTTCTGCCAGATCTGTGCAAAGAGGACTGCTAGCCCTGTCAGAGAGTCACGGGCCATCTTCTCCAACATCTTCTGAACATGTCTATGGCTAAACAGCACAGCTTTGGAATGGTAGTGCTCAACTGCACAGTGCACAGCGGCTTGTAAAGATGGCATCGGTGCAAGTGGTTGGAATGGTGCAAAGATAAAAAGGGGCTGGAATTGGATATGAAGGATAGGATGAGGGGTAGCTTAGGGTGTTAGTTTGGTAAGATATGGTGAGAGAACTCATTAGGCTTTGTGGTGTAAAACCCTTCAAAACACTTAACTCAAACTTAAGCCAAAGAAAATAAGACTCAACCCAAAGTCAGATAGCTAGGTTCACTTTTTCCTCAAATGTTTGAGAAACCTCTTGGGTAATCTGAGGTAGACTGTGTACTTTTCAGGTCTGGGATTGTGAGATAAATAACGAGCAATGACTGGGGTAGCCTCTTCTCACAGGGAATCTTTGACAGACTCTATTTTGACATCCAATTTGCACAGTAAGTTTTCCATGTGTACGATGAAGGATTCCTTCAATTTCGTGAAAATTATTTGTGACTGGCTTATCTACAGCAATGTCGTGTTTATGTGTTCGTTTGACATTATGAGCTTATTCACTAATGAGTCTCTCAAAGAAGCTATTACATGTCACTATCTCTTGATATTCTGGATGCATCACTATTTTCTGAATTAAACTTATGAACTTCACAATTCCTGCAGAGTTCAGTTTCAACTAATGCCTGTGACTCTCTGACAGGGCTGGCAGTCCTCTTGGCACAGAACTTAAGTCAACATGGTGTTGCAATGGATCCCCTCTAGGTCCAGATCTCGCTTACATTTTTTTTAGTTTCCATGAGAAACTTGTTTTTGAGGATCTTCTAACTCTTGTCCTTGCATATTTCTAATATACAGATGATATGTTTAGCATCTTTGAATGTGTAGCTGGTGTAAGCATTTCCTTACACTCCTTAATGCAATCCGCCTCACACACAATTTTTTTTAACAGTCTAACAAACTCCATTTCCACAATGTGCTGGTTGAAAAATCTGCCAAGGGTTCTCCACTACTGTTTACCATAAGCCTTTCTTTCAAGGTCAAAAATGAGTTGGGATTCTTACAATTGTATGTGCTAAGAGATTCGCCTTATTGACAATCTTGTAAATTGGGCTCAAGCCATTCATCCAGCATGCAACCTTGATACTAAAATAAGGTACATCAAAGCTATACCGCAGGAAAATAGTTACGCCAATCAGGCTGTCACTTACTGTACTTTGCACAAACTTAGGAATGGGTCCATACCTGACACTTTCAGACTTGAAAAGTGCAAATCTATCACAAATTGACCTGGAAAAGCAGGCAGATATCTCAAAACATTAAATAACAAGTTAACCACTTCATGCTGCTACAATGTACTATCAATAAACTAGCTATTTCCCGATGACAGGATATAGCTTCACCAACCAAAAAGCTCAGCAAAAATGAATGATATGGTTCATGAATATTATGGTTGCGTTTGATGTTGGGTATATCGACTGTACATCATAAAAACAGGTGGATTATATCACACAGCTTTTGACTGTTTGCAATAGCCAGAGTACTTTCTCTACTTAATTAGCCTATGCAGTCAAAATGCAAAATATAACAGTCCAGAACTTCTGATACTTCGAGAACAGATCCATTCAATGGCAATCATATCAAACAACATCCACTTAACTTTCCACTTTTTCTGCGTCCAGACTTCTGAATTGGGCCATTCTTAGACATCTCCATCGCAGCCTGTTCTTTAGGTCTCAACCTCATCCAACGGATGTGAACCCACACCACCCCATGAAACCAGAGGACTTCGGAACATGCGTTAAGGGTAGCAGCAAACACAATAGATATTGCCACAGAAAAGTAAGTACAATGAAACTTCTGCTTGTATTACACAGCTCAGTATTATTCTTATCTGTTCCTATTAAACATTTAATGCTATTTTAATTGATTAATTTGAAGTGTAATGATTTTTAAAAAATACTTAATGTCCCTGTAATTTAATATTCAAAATTTTATTTATTTCTCTGATTTTACATTCAATGTTCATTAATGATTTCACAGGGTCTTGATGTGCAACTCCTTTTCACATTGCTGTAAGATCTGTCTTCCCACCAGAAGATCTGGGCCATTGTTTAAAATTAGATGTGATTCCTCAATTTTACAAAATTTACTGAATAATCCAACTGTGCTAAGTATTGCACAAACAATCACTTTACAATGATCAAATTGGCACACAATGTAGCATATTTACATCTGCTAGTAGGTACACAAATACATACTTGGGGATCTATCCTCTGTAGGGAAAAGGAATGTGTCCAGACATGGCATAATATATTGTTGAACTAAACAAAAGCATGAGGGTCAATTGTTCCCTGCTGTATTCTCCGTGGCAATGCCTTAACCTATCTGAGAGCAGTATAAATTGATCCTCCTTTTGAAATTTGGCATTCTTGTGTCTGCCCTGATCAGAGGAAGATGAAAAGTTTTGACAGCATGTCTTTTCTTTCAGCTACAGTATTTTCCTGAGGCGATGAGTGAACTGTCAATTTACAGAGATGTTAAAGCTTTAAACTCTATAACCAAGCCCTGTGCTGCCTCCAACTCACCCACTCGCTGCTGTAATCAGTGTGATACAAAAGGAGTCAGATAACCCACTTCCAGATGGCAAGTTAATGATGTAAATACTTTACAGAGACCAGGAGCCTCGGATTTAACGTGTTATACAGGCTTTACCATGGCAGCATGGTTTCTCAGACCTCCAGCAATCCAGCATTGAAGAGAGGGAAGAACAAATACGTGGAGATGGTCAATGCTTCCTAGATCTCTCCCAAACTCCACCAATATCCTAACTCAAACTAGCTTCGTGCACACTCCAGACCCCCCACCCACCACCATACCCCCCAACAAGCCATCGTGTCAGGGAGATTCAATCTTCTTCTGAGGTTGGGGCTCAGACTCCTTCCTCTGACGTCAGGCATCACACTCCCCTTCACAATCTCTTTTTGCAACTTCAGCCTCCTGCAGAGTACCCCCAGCTTACTTGAAACCAAGCCTGTCAATCAGATCACTTCTCGATAGCAAAGTTATCAAAGCGGAACTGCAGATGCTGTGAAGTCAAAAATCCATAGAGTGCAGGGACCTTCCAGGCATCTACTCAGAAACTTTGCCAACTCAGCTCCAACATCCAACCGTGCCAACCCCAATCTAATTATTCTGATTTTGCCAAATGTCTATAAGATCTATGCAAGTCTTCGTGGATAAAAGTTACCTGTGCTTTTTTATATCATTGATTCCATTTTTCAGATTTCCCAGGCGTTCGGTTGGGCTTTGTCTGCAATAAAGGATGTCACAGAAAAAATACAATAAGTTTTTTTCCAAATCTCACTCTCTCTATTCTTCTCACCCTAGTCCCCTGGAGTGTCTGTCTGATGCTGGGTGATGGCTTCGTGCATTCTGCAGCCTTCCAGAACTCATGCTTTACGTTGGAACATTGACGGTGACGTTTGACAGGGTACTGAGAGTACAGCAACACAGCCAAACTCAATCTTGTCTTCAAAACCATGAACCCTCATTGTTCATCAAATGCCTGTCAGAAACAGAAACTGCTGCAGAACAAAACTCACTTCGAATGGATTAATTCCCTGTTAAAATGGTAGTAAAGCAACAAACCCTTACTAAAGATTTCCACTGATATCACTCCTGGCCTTTTGGTTGATACATTCCTTTCACAGACCAGGGTTAATTTAAGAGGCTACCACTGAGTAGAGTACAACAGGTTGTGTGTGAAACATAGAGACATAGAAAATAGGAGCAGGAGTAGGCCATTTGTTCTTTGAAGGTTGCTCTGCCATTCAATATGAACACAGCTGATCATCTAACTTCGTACCATCTTCCCGCTTTCTCCTTTACCCTTTGATCTCTTCAGCTCTAAGAACAATATCTAACTCCTTCTTGAAAATATTCAAGTTTTGTTCTCAACCACTTTCTGTGGCAGAGAATTCCACAGGCTCACCAGGCTCAGGGCAAAGAAGTTTAGCCTCATATCAGTCCTAAAATGGCTTACCTCATATTCATAGACTGTGCAAATGTGGATTTTGATACCTTTGTGGATCAGAACCACATTACAAATGAGCAGAATGTCATGGACTGCTATTGGATATGGTAGTCTTGTGGTTCTAGTACCGAATGAGCACATCAAGCTCATATTCCAAGGAGAACTAGGAAATTGAACTTAATAAATCTGGTACATTGAAAGGTGACACCAGATAAAATTATCATAAAACATTTTGAATTGTCGTAAAACAGCTGATTCATTAATGGCCTTTTCAGAAAGTACGTGACCAAAATAACTTATACTTGTTTCCAATCCCACACAAAATAATTCGCTCATTGGATAGAATTTTACTGGCTCTGCTGAAGTGGCCTCAATGATCAAACCAGGAGAAAGGCAGGGCAGGAGGATGCTGGATCAGGGGGCCAACGAGTTCACACCTCAGCCCAATCTCGCTGGAGGAACAGACAAACCAGCGGTGGCAGGTAGCCCATTTGAACTTGTAAGTGCCCAACTGTGGGCTAACTGGAAAGCTGCCAAGATCTTCCTGGAAGTAGACATCCCGCCATTTCTTCCCCTAACTCTATCCTGCACCCCCACCGTCATCACTGAAACTATGGTCAGCAGAGTCTTTACAGTGGGTTGCCAATGGTTGGCTAAGTGTTGGGGAGGGTGGGGGGATGGGTGGAATGGGTTGTGAGGCTATCTGTGCTTACTCACCTGAATGGCAGTGATCAACCAACCACAGCTGGGATTGCGAACAATCCTGTGGAGGAGTCTTCCCCTGTACCATAATGAAAGCCTGGCAACTGTGGTTGCTTTTAATATGAAGAAATGGAAGCCTTTTCAGTTCTCACCTCTGCCTACTTGCAAAGCTGTGGGCCCTCTGATTGGACCTACAGCTAAGAGCGCATGCCCACTGTCCTTCTTTAGATGGCGGATGGGCTCGTGGCCATTAGGTGGCTGCTTACTATAAAGCCAGGCTGTCATCAAACATGGGATTGGGATTCAGAAATGGTTCTCACCACCAATTATTTTGCCCCAATGACTTAAGGGAAACCAAGGATTGTTTGGTTCATAAATCAGACAACAATATTGGATTCTGCTCCAGAGGCCTATAATGAGATGCTATCCCGTTCCATTAAGCCAAACTTTTTCCGTTCTTTATAAAATTCTGTAGAATCTGTGAAAAAAATTACAGTTACTCAGATTATCCTTCACAGAATCTCACTTCAGAGGTTACTGAAGCAATATTAGCTGTCAATTGCCTGACTACTTAGTTTAATTCTCCCTTCGAATGAACACTAATCTTGTGGTAAATCAGGGAAGTATTTCCTCTAAATACATGTACGTTGTACAAATTTACTGCAGATGGCACAATGAAAACAGAAGAAACCTTTCTCAGTATCACTAAAGATGCTAACAATTTGTCGGCATTATACAATCCCACTGATCCGTATACTGCTTGCCGACACATCTGATTTTAACCCTGTCTGCTTGGCTGAAGCCAAGCTCGAGTGAAATGGCTGGAGCCACTTCTCTCCATTGATCCTATTGTCATCACATAGATAGTACATTTTCCAACCAGGAAATTGGTTTACTGCCAGAAGACAACAGGATGCAGATTTAAACGCACAGATTGATTCTGAGGATTTTAAACCATTTCTGAAACCAAAACTGGCATCAGAAGGTTCTTGAGGATTCTCAACCATGCCAAACTGGGAGTAAAAGGAGTTAACAGAGATACATCAGACAGCAATGCTCCTCCAGCCCCACAATGAACTTTTGGCTTACTCTCCCCCAAGTTTCTTTGTGCATTTCTTGACCATGACACGCCAACCATCCTCACCAGGCTTGTGTGTTTATAAAATCCTGGGTGTCATGTTGCAGGACATCTGATAGTTAGCCACTCCCTTTACCATCCCCCTTGCACAATTCCTTTTGGGGTTAAAATCAATTCTCTGATGTACCCAATGATGTAATAATCTATATATGTCTCCATTTAAGTAAATATGGGGTTCATTTAATTAATAGGGTCATCCTTTTCTTATGAAATGCAAAAATAAGGTAGAAGCATATTGAATACAAAAGTACAGGAGGTGGCCATTTGGCCCATTATGCATGTGGCATTTCATTTAAAATACAATTGAAATTGATGTCATTCCAGAGCTCTGCAAGCTTTTGCTTTTCAATTATACACCCAATTTCCTTCTTACAAAGGCTTGTACTGAGAATAAATAACAGCTGACCGGTTATTCCAATGTTACAATTTATGGGAATAATCAGTTGGTAAGTAGTACTTTCTGAATTATTCAATTCCTCAAATTCTGGAGCAAATCCAGGTCCATGGCTACAACATCACAATTTAAAAAAAAAATTACTTCTCACTTGCACAGTCTACGAATCATTTCTTCAGGGCGTTTTGTTATTTTCTTAGGAAAATCCAGTTTTTCTATTCCTTTGAGAATCAAGTTGTATGTCATCATCTGGTCGAAGCCAGAAAATGGCGGACTGTTAAACAAAGGTAAAAGGTAATTAATGTTAAGGCAATGCACTGCAAGAATTCTAATCCAAATGCACATAACTGAAGATTTTTACAACTGCTCGTTGTCTTTCAATGCCCAGAGAATTTCTAATATAATCATCAATAAAATAATTCTAAAATATTAATGTTAAGTATTGACGGTATTTTGAACTACTCACATTTTATATAGTTCTTTGATCAGTGCTGGAGAAATTCATTATTGTTATGCCTGTTCTTTAGGCATAAAATCAATACTGGATGACAAATTTCACATCTCCAGTGCCAACCTCCCCTATACATGGCCCCACTGCCAAAATCCAAGATTCTCTGTGCAACAGAGTTGCATTAAATGCAAATCAAAGTCTGGTCATCAGTTGTGGCACCTCGATTAAAATTAGTCCAAAAGAGATAATGTGAATGCACCATTCAATTGAATCAGGTTATTTAGTGACATCGTTAACTTTTCAGGGGACAGCCAAAATGCTTTTAAGTAGTTAAGTTTGAGAAGTGTGGAGTTGGGAGAAGTCCCTCAATCCTACCCTTCCACCAGTCTCCTCAACCAATGAACACTTCATGCCAACCCGCCTCCTCTGTGTTTGCAGGGTTCTAGCTCGTGAGCTGCTGAACTGTGAAAGATTAATTTCTACAAATAAATATGGTAACCACAGAGATCCAGTGAAATGGAAATGATGGGAGGAATTTTAACAAAGGTGAATGCCTGGGACTGGGTACAGGTTGTTGGTGTTTGTGGTGGGAAAGTTGTAAATTGGAGATAAATTCTGGAAACCAGTTCTAACCACTTACATCTGGGCAGGAGATGTGGTGGGCAGCTTATGTGCTTCCTGGAGACATTAGCATTTTAGCCATTTTAACGAAGCTGGCAGCCTCAGATTTAACCTGCTTTGCAGGGTCTAAAGAGGTGTTATAACTCACTCAGAGAGGGTCTAAAATTAAGTTTGTCAGACATCTGGAAACCTGGCAGCTTAAAGACAACTCTGAGGTGAAGGTAAGTTTTTCAAAGCACTGCCTCTGGGCCAAAAAGAGCAGGAGTGTTTTTCTCCAGAGTCCAATTTCCGTTTTGTCGCACCTAACCCACAAAAAGACCCCTGAATCGGATAACAGTCTTCCATCCCTTCTCACTGTGACCTGGAAATGAGAACACTACTTGGGTTTGGAATCAGGCATCCTCACACAATCCCAGCAGGATCATAGATCTGACAGGTTTGTTTCTGCTACTTGTTTGAGAGAGCTCCCTACCAGATTGGAAGGTAACTCTATCAGTAAGGCTGACTTTTGGGCTGGAACCCGTTGGGACGAAAAAAAAATACAGGCTGCAGAATTAAGACTTCACAGCCTGAACAAAGCCTTTAGTTCTGGGTTTCCTGTCTAGAACTCCACCCACTCTGTTCTTGGCTATATAACCAACCCCAATAAATATCTAGAACAATGTATTTGACACCATGCCATATAAGCTGCTCCAAGATGTGGTCTGTGTGGCCAAGCAGTAACATATACTTGGCATATTGCAAATAAAGTCATAGAAATTTTACAGCATGAAAAGAAGCCCTTTGTTCCATCGAGTGCACGCTGGTGGTCAAACATTCATTTTCTCTAATCCCATTTTCCAGCACTTGGTCAATAGCTTTATATACTATGGTGTTTCATGTGTTCATCTAAGTACAGTAGTTGTGAAATATCTTGAGGATTCTGCCTCTTACCACCCTTTTAAGCATTGAGTTCCAGATACTCATAACCCTCTGAGTGAACAAAATTTTCTGAAAATCCTCTCCAAATCTCCTGCTCCCTTACCTTAAACTGTGCCCCCTTGTTACTGACCTCTCTACTAACAGGAAGAGATTTTCCTTTTCTCTCCTGTTTATGCCACTCAGAATTGTGTACACCTCATTCAGATCACCCCTCAGCCTTCTCTAGTCTCAGGAAAACAACCCCAGCCTATCCAGTCTCTCTTCATAGCTGAATCACTCTAGCCCAGGTAACATCCTGGTGAATCTCCTCCTCACCTTCTCAATGCAATCACATTCTTCCTGCAGTGTAGCGACCAGACCTGCATACAGTACCCCTGCTGTGGTCTAACTAAAGTTAACAAAGCTCTGTCATAACTCTTTGCTCTTGTATTCAATGCCGCAACTAATAAAAGAAAGTTTCCTACACATAAAAAAATTTATTTCCACAGGTGTCAACTTTTATATTTCAATCCTTAATTTTTCATGTTGCAACCTTCAACAACAAGATAGTCACAAGTATTCCGAGCGCAGCTGGCACAGTTTGCCATCTGCTTATCTGCTGACCCAGAGAGAATACAGGTCCTTATGTTTTTTCTCAGTGGGCTTTCCAGGATCAGCAAAAATAGTTGTTGGCTTTTGTGGATATGGAAAATCTGGCAATGGTGGTTCCTGATAATCTTTCAAACCTAGCAGCGGTTTGTGGTCTGTTATTATTACAAATTTACATGCGTAAATGTATTGGTCAAACTTCCTGATTCCAAATATCCTTCTCTATTCCTTCTCTATCTGGGCATATTTACATTCTGCATTAGCCGAAGTTCTGGATGCACACAGTATTGCGTGTTTCTCTCCATTGGGCCACCTACAATCTAATACTACCCCAATGCTGTACAGGAAAACATCGCATGCCAATACCAGATCATGCTTGGGACCATAGTGTGCCAACACCTTAGAAAATGATAGCTGTTTTTCTTCACTTCCCTGAAAGTTGTGGCTTGTCTATGTGATCATTTCCAAAGTTGACCCTTTTTTAAGGGTTGATGCAAAGGTGCCAGGATGGAGGCCACGTAATGTATGAATTTTCTGTAATAATTCACAAGGCCAAGGAAAGACCTAAGCTTCGGTACAGAAGTGGGATCCGGGGCAACTTTGATCACTATCTTCCAACGGGTATGACCCCGTCTTGTTGACTCAGTAGCACAATTAGATCATTTGGGGTGTCCGGAACACATATTTTTCCCATTTTAATGAGTGCACTTGCCTGGGAAAAACTATGTCCAAATTCTCTAAGTGCTCCTTATTAGTCTTCCCTGTTATTAGCACATCATCTAAATAAATGGTGACCTGGGGTAGACCTTGTAAAACATTCTCAATCACCTGCTGACAAATTGCACAGGTTGATGATACCCAAAATGGCAGTCTAGTCTATCGGTACAAACTCTTATGGGTATTAATTGTAGCATACTTCTGGGAATCCTCTTCTAACCGCAACTGCAAATACACATGGCTCATGTCCAGCTACATGAAGGACAGCCTCCCTGCCAGCTTTGTGAATAAATCCTTTATGTGAAGGATTGGGTTATCCAGCTGTGAAAAGCAGTTTACTCTTTGTTTAAAATCCCTACAAAGGTGAACCGACCCATAGGGTTTCACAGTGGGTACAATGGTGCTGCCATTTCTGCAAACTGATGATTCGTTCACTTTCCAGCATTCTGATTTTTGCCTCTACTTTTGCCCGAAAGGCAAATGGCTCTGGGTGGGTCTTGCAGAATCATCGAATTGTTTCCTGGTCAACATGCAAGGTGGCATTGGCTCCTTTGATAGTCCCTAAACCTTCCTGAAAAAATTCTGTTTATTTACTTAGGACTTCACTCAGGCAACCATTTCCTCATTGAAAAATGTTGAGTGGATCTAGGTGAATCTTTCTCAACCAATTTCACACCATCAAGCTTGGGCCCAAGCCTTTTGCTACCATCAGTGGTAACTGAACCAGGTGCTTATCATAAGAGACTGGAAACGAAGTCGTACCCTTAATCTATAAGGGTTCCCTGGTACGGGTTCTCAGTCTAGCCGAGGTCTGCACAAACTTAAGGGCACAAACTTAAGGGCTGCAATCCAGAGCGAATTTTGTTGAAGGCTGCTTCTGCGATCATTATAATGGCTGTGTTGGTATCGACTCCATTAGAACTGGCTCATCATTTAACCAGATGTTTATTTTGATTGTTTCTGATTTGGATGTTGCTAAGCAATTTAACTGTTCCACATCAGATGTAGGAGCATTTTACAGGGTGCTCTCTCTTCTGGATACCGGCCTATGAGTTCTCTTGCTCAATTTAGGTCTAGTGGGACTTACTTGCTGACTTGAGTGCGCATTCCAGCAGCAACTACAATGGCTTGCTGGCCCAGAACCCGAAGAAAATTTTAACCATTTGGCTGAGGTTTGGATTTGTTTTGGGGCTTTGCTGCACGTTCACGTAGAGTCCCTCTGGTTCAGGATATGTCCTGAGTGAGGTTGTGCAATTGCCTTTACTCAAGTGGTGTTTCCCAATCTCAATCAGACTAGCAAGGGTGTCTACTTCCATCGGAATAGCCTGTAACTCATATGCTCCACTTGCTGCATTTTCCAATAATAAAGCCAATTGTAGCACCTGTTGAAGTCCAGTTGGGCTTCAGCTAGTGGGGCTTTGCATAGTTACGTCATTAATTCCACTCTCGTTGCCACTGAAATAACTCCACAGAGGCCGGTATCCCATTACCAAGTCACCCTTTATTTACACATGAAGATTCCTTGACAATGATCTAGCCTCCTTAGAACCAATTCTCATAGTGAACAGAACCTCTGATACTGCTGTTGATATCTGCCAACCAGGGCTCCCCGACTGGACCAGATTAACAGTCCTAATCAGGGAACTCATTCTATGATGTCCATTTGGTTGATCTCATTACAGTCACTACAGTTCTCAACTGAAATCTACATACAAAAATTTTCCAGCATGTTGCTGGGAAAATGTTAGAATCTCTTCTAAAAGATCTAGTCGCAGAACATTTAGAAAGACATAATAGTGTCAGCATGGCGTCACAAAAGGGAAATCATGCTCTACAAATTTATTAGAATTTTTTGAGGAGAGTGAAAGGATGATAGCTAAAGGGAGCACAGCGGCTATAATGTATTTGGATTTCTAGATATCATTCAATAAGGTATCACACATTACGCCACTTAAGAAAGAACCTCCAGCATTGGAGGTGGTATATTAGCTTGGATAGGTGATTAGCTAATTAATAGAAGACAGAGAATTGGGATAAGTGCAGGGGCGTTGTAGTTTCAGGATGGCAACCTATAACTGGTGGAGACGCACAGGGTCAGTACTGGGGCCACATTATTTGTATTATATTAATGGCTTGGATGAGGAAGTGAACGTACTACAGCCAAGTCTGCAGATGCCACAAAAGTAAGTGGGAGGGAAAGTGGTGAGGATGACATAAACAGAATGCAGAGGCATATGGAAAGGTTAAGAGAGAGAGCAAAACTTCATTGATGGAAAATAATGTGGGAAAATGTGAGGTTATGCACTTTGGCTGGAAGAATAGAGGAGTTGAATATTACTTATCTGACGAAAGTCTGCAGAAAGCTACAGAATAGAGGGATTTGGGAGTCCTTGAACATAAATCACAAAGCTACCTTAGCAGGTAAGCAGTTCAAATGCGGCAGATATTAGGGAAGGCAAATGGAATGTTGGTCTTGATTTCAAATGGAAAAGAGAATAGAAATAGGGAGGTCTTGATAAAAGTATACAAGGCACAAGTTAGACCACACCTGGAATACAGTGAACAGTTTTGGTGCCCTTGTCTAAAGGACCATAAGGTCATAAGAAACAGGAACAATAGTAGGCCATTCATTCCCTTAAGCTTGCTCTACCATTCAATAGGATAGTGGGTGATCCGTATCCTTCATGTCCTCTTTCCTGCCCTTTCCTTGTAACCCTTGATTCCCCTCCTGATCAATAATCTATCTACCTCAGCCTTAAATATACACAAGAACTCTACTCCCACAGTTCTCTGTGGTAAGGAGATCCAAAGATTCACAAAGAAATTCCTTTTCATCTCAGTTTTAAATTGGCACCCATTTATTATGAGACAATGCCCTCTGGAAAGATATATTGGCACTGAAGGCAGTCCAGGGAAGATACATTTGGTGATCCCAGCACTTCACTAGTTACAGGTTGCCATCCTAAAAATATCCACTTATTACAAGCCCCTGCCTTCTATTAGTTGCCCAATCTTTTCTCTACACTGGTATACTAAGTCCAACAACATGGATCCTTATGAGAGGCAACTTTATTGAAAGATACAAGATTCTTAGCAGACTTGATAGGGAGATGCGGAAAGGTAGTTTCCCTTTGTGGAACAGTCAAGGATCAGAAGACATAATCTCAGAATAACAGGTTGCCCATTTAAGACAGAGATGAGGAGGAATTTCTTTTGTCGAGAGTAGCCAGTCTATGGAATCTTTTACCTTAGAGGCCTTTAGAAGCTGGGTTGTTAAATTATGTTCAAGGCTAAGGTAATCTTTTTAACCAACAAGAGACAAAGCAGCAATTAAACATTATCACATCAGCTGTGATGTCATTAAATGACAGCGGACCTGATGTGCTGAAAAGCGTCCCTCTAAGTCTTCTGTCTTATGGTCTAGGTCATTGGGATAGAAGTCATAAACCAAAGAGCAAAGAATTGGTGATACAAAAAGACCAAGATCTCACACTCTTCGCCTTTTAATATCTTGGTAGTCACATAAAGGTAAAATCACCTTAGTCTCATAGGTTGCTCTCTCATGAGTGATAGACAACTGGGACACATTTAACCTGAAGATCACCAAGCTTCAGGCAAGGGGCAAGTTTGAGAAAGGATGACCTCAAGGTAACCTCAGCCCATGCAGGAATTGAGCCCACACTGTTGGCATCATTCTGCATCGCAAACCAGCTGTCCAGCTAACCAACCCATAATCGCATAATACAATGGTAGCTCAACATTTGACCATTGTAATCATTGCAAATAATTGATATCAAATTATGTACAACAGGCTTTTCAATAACTAAGAAAAACCCCAGAGCTGGAGAGCTTTGAGAACTGTAGGTGCCAAGGCAATCTTAAACCTTCAAAGCCAGTTACAATTACCACATGCCGTATCTCAAATTACTCGTATGCCAAATTGCAAAATGTTACTTCTAAAACAAATCTAATCTGTATTTAAATCATTTTGACTCTCACTGACCAGTAGATATAATAATCAATTATACCATCCGATTGCTACGTTGGCTGAGATCAGTTAACTCAACATAAACCCAATAGTTTGATAAGATTTAACTTTTTAGTTTTTATTTATCATCATGCTGCATTTACAGACAGAGTCAATTACATAAACGGGCTGTTTACCTTCCATTAAGAAGCTCAAAAACTAGAATTCCTAGTGACCAGAAGTCTACAGCAAAATCGTGGCCCTTGTTCAAGATGATCTCGGGTGCTACATATTCAGGAGTGCCACAAAATGTCCATGTTTTCTGACCTTTGCCAATTTTCTTAGCAAATCCAAAGTCAACCTGAAAACAGAGGACCAGTAAAATTTAATCTTCCATTTATCCACACTTCGCATTCTAAAGTTGTGCTAGTGATGAAAAGATTCTGATCTGTGATCCTCATGGACCAGAACCTCAAACATTAATTTGACTTTCCAGTAATAGGGAATGGTGGAAAGAAGGTTAGTTATTCTGGATGGCAAAACTAAGTGCCTACACCACTAAGGAGCATTTGGCATTTCCCCTATGGTGGACAGGCAGGCCAAGAATTCTAACTTACCTTGTTCGCTCCTTAAAGGAAATTGTAGGTACTTCTTAAATTGTCTGTTCTTGGGAGATCCAAATTAGAACCCTATCCTGAACCTCAGAAGTTGCTCATGAGGACTTTCTTTGAGAGGCTGGCATACCAGGTCCTACTGGGTGTGCCATCACTGGTCTGAGGCTACATTGTCCTTGATAGGGATACACATAGGGAGTATGTGGCCCTGCTGCTTCAAATGCCATTGGCTTTCTAATATTGCAGTGTAATAATAATAATGGAACAAAGCACACTTAAAAATATCTAAATGCATATCAGAATCATAGAGTCATAGAGTAATACAGCATGGAAACAGGCCCTTTGGCCCAAAGTGGTCCATGCTGACCATGGTACCCACTCAGCTAGCTCCAATTGCCCACATTTGGTCCATATCCCTCTATCCCTCTATCCCTCTAAACCCTTCTCATCCGCGTACCTATCCAAATGTTTATTAAATGTTGCTATTGTACCTGCCTCAGCCACTTTCTCTGGCAGCCCATTCCATATACACACCACTGTCTGCATGAAGAAGTTGCCCCTCAGGTCCTTCTTAAATCTAACCCCTCTCATCTTAAACCTACGCCCTCTAGTTTTCAATCCCTCATCCCTTGGAAAAAAATTATAAGCATTCATCCTATCTATGCCCCTCATGATTTTATACACCTCAGTAAGGTCACCCCTCTATCTCCAACATTCCAAAGAATAAAGTCCTCTCCTGGCCAATCTCTCCCTATAACTCAGGCCTACTAGCCCTGGCAACATCCTCGTGAATCTTCTTTGCACACTTTCCAGTTTAACCATGCCTTTCCTATAACAGGGTGACCAAAACTGTACACAATACTCCCAAATGTGGCCTCAGCAATGACTTATATAACTGTAACATAACGTCCCAGCTCCTATACTGGTGTGTCGATCGATGAAGGCCAGAATGCTAAATGCCTTCCTCACCACCTTGTCCACCTGTGACGCTGTTTTCAATGAACTCTATACTTGTACTCCCAGGCCCCTCTGTTCCACAACACTCCTCAGGACCTTACCATTTACTGTGAAAGTCCAAACTTGGTTTGCCTTTCCAAAGTGCAACACCACACACTTATCTGTATTGAATTGTATTTGCCAATCCTTACTAATATTGCAGTGTAATAATAATAATGGAATAAAGCACACTTAAAAATATCTAAATACATATCAGAATCATAGAGTTCCAATTGCCCACATTGGGTTCATATCCCTCTAAACCTTTCCCGTTCATGTACCTATCCAAATGTTTTTTAAATGTTGCTATTGTACCTGCCTCAACCACTTTCTCCGGCAGCCTATTCCATACATGCACTACTCTCTGTGTAAAGAAGTTGCCCCTCAGGTCCTTCTTAAATCTATCCTCTCACCTGAAACCTACGCCCTCCAGTTTTCAATTCCCCATCCCTGGGAAAAATACTTTATGGATTCATCCTGTCTATGCCCCTCATGATTTTATACACCTCAGTAAGGTTATACCTCTATCTCCTACGTTCCAAAGAATAAAGTCCTATCCTGGCCAACCTCTCCCTATAACTTAGGCCTACTAGCCCTGGCAACATCCTCGTGAATCTTCTTTGCACACTTTCCAGTTTAACCATGCCTTTCCTATAACAGGGTGACCAAAACTGTACACAATATTCCAAGTGCGGCCTCACCAATGATTTATACAATTGTAACAAAACGTCCCAACTCCTATACTCAAAACCTTGACCGAAGAAGGCTAGCATGCTAAATGCCTTCTTCACCACAGTGTCCACCTGTCATGTTGCTTTCAATGAACCATGTACTTGTACTCCTACGTCTCTCTGCTCTACAACACTCCTCAGGGCCTTACCATTTACTGTATAAGTCCTACCTTGGTTTGACTTTCCAAAGTGCAACACCACACACTTAGCTGTATTGAATTGCAGTTGCCAATCCTCAGTCCACTTCTGCATCTGATCAAGACCCCTCTGTAATTTTTGATAACCTTCTTCGCTATCAACGATACCTCCTAATTTTGTGTCATCCGCAAACTTATAAATCATGCCTTGTCATTCACATCTAGGTCATTTATGTAAATAACAAATAACAAAGGTCCCAACACCAACCCTGTGGCACACCACCAGTCACAGATCTTTAGTCCAAGAAACAACCGTCAACCATCACCCTCTGCTTCCTACCTTTGAGCCAATTTTGAATCCAATTAACTAGCCCTCCCTGGATCCCATGCAACCTAACTTTCATGACTGGCCTGCTGTGTGGAGCCTTGTCAAAAGCCTTATTAAAGTCCATACAGACAACATCCACTGTCTTACCCTTCTTTATCCTCTTGTTTACCTCTTCAAAAAACTCTAAAATATTTGTCAGACATGACTTACCATGCACAAATCTGTGCTGACCATCCCTAATCAGACCTTGACTATCCAAATGTTGGCTGATCCTGTCGCTCAGTATCCTCTCCAATAAGTTGCCTCCAATAACACTGGCCTGTAGTTCCCTGGCTTGTCTTTGCTACCTTTCTTAAACCATAGCCACCTCCCAGTCTTCTGGAACTTCACCCGTGGCTAAAGATGAAGTAAAAACCTCTGCAAGGGCTTCTGTAATTTCTTCCCTAGCCTCCCACAATGTCTGAGGATGGACTTGATCAGGGGATTTATCCGCCTTAATGTGATTTAAGGCTGCAAACACCTCCTTTCTGATAATGTGTATGTTGTTCAAAACATCCCCACCTGTTTCTCTTATTTCCTTAGCATCCATGATTCTCTCCTCAGTAAACACTAAGGAGAAATATTCAGTAAAAATCTCCCCCATCTCCTATGGTTCCACACATAGATGGCCATACTGATCTTTAAGGGGACCAATTCTCTCCCTAGCCCTTTTTTACTTTTAATATTGCTATAGAACCTCTTGGGATTATCTTTAACCTTATCTGCCAGATCCAACTCATACCCTCTTTTTGCTCTTCTGATTTCCCTCGAGTGTGCTCCTACACTTTTTATAGTCATCTAGGGATTCATTTGAGCCCGATAGCTTAAACCCAATGTATACCGTTTTCCTGACCAGAGCCTCAATATCTCTTGTCGGCCAGGGATCCCTAAACCTGCCAGGTTTTCCCTTCACCCTAACAGCGACATCCTGTCCCTGGACTTTTGATAACACACTTTTAAAAGCCTCCCATTTGCCAGTCATTCCATTTCCTTCAAACAGACTCACCCAATCGACTGATGCCAGATCCTGCCTAATGGGCCCAAAATTGGCCCTTCTCCAGTTTAGTACCTCAACCTGTGGACCTGTCCTATCTTTTTCCATAACTGTGTTAAAACTAAGAGAGTTATGATTACTGGACACAAAGTGCTCCCTGACTGCCACTTCAGTCACTTGCCCGACCTCGTTTCCTAAGAGGAGGTCCAGTGTTGCACTCTCCCGAATAGGGCCCTCTACATATTGATTTCGGAAACTTTTTGGATACATTTGACAAATTCTACCCCGTCCAGGCCTTTTACACTCTGGGTGGCCCAGTCAATACAGGGAAATTAAAATCTCCAACCAATACTACTCTATTATTCCTACAGGTATCTGCAATCTCTCCACACATTTGCTCATCTAGTACCCGCTGGCTATTTGGGGGTCTATAATACAATCGCATCAGAGTGACCATCCCCTTTTTGTTTCTAAATACTAACCATATGGCCTCATTTGATGACCCCTTAAGAATATCCTCTCTAAGCACTGTTGTTATGTCCCCCCTTATCAAAAGGGCAACTCCCCCTCCTTGCTTACTTGTATTTCTGTCACGCCTGTAGTCTCTGTATCCTGGAACATTGAGCTGCCAGTCCTGCCTTTCTCTCAGCCATGTTTCTGTTATAGCTATAACATCCCAGTCTCCAGAGCCAATCCATGCTCTGAGCTTATCTGCCTTACCAGTCAGGCCTCATGCATTGAAATGAATGCACTTTAAACCAGAAGTCTTTTCCCTCCCTTTACTGTGCCCCTGGCTATCATGAATAATAAACTGTTGTGACATTAGCGAGGGATATGAGCCAAATGGAGGCAAATAGTTTAGTTTGGAAAACTTGGTCAGCATGGATGAGTTGGGCTGAAGGGTCTGTTTCCATGCTATATGACACTATGACTCTATGACAGCATGAAAACCTTCAGCTTCAGTAGCAAATCCAAGGCCACAAGTTAAATCCTAAACTAACCAGGACTTAGCAGAAAACAGACAGTACCAAACCTTACAAGAATATAAAAATGTGCAGAACCATTCATTTTGTTGTTACGGTGTACCATTGATCTAACAAAATCTAGACATAGGGCAGAATTGTTAAGAAAGACCATTGAAGCTGGGGCTTGATATAAAATAGCATCATGTTAACCAACAAGAATGATTGTGTTGAACCTGACTCTATGTTGCAACGCTGCATTGAAACATGCCTGAGAGACTGAAGGAAACTTTTCTTTAATATTTGTTTTTCAAGATCAGGATTACTTAATTAAATAATTTTATATTAAACAATTCAGCAGATGAATGAGCATCTTTCCCACAAATGACAAAATTTATTGGATTAAATTTCACAAGATGGAATGGAGGTATTAAAACTCATCAGCTCCAGGTTTCTAGTCTAGTGCCATGAAACTAATATGTGCAAGTGCATTTAATTCTTAAGAATTAATATAATATTTGATATTTACCAGCTTTATGTATCCTTCACTATCTAGCATCAGATTCTCTGGCTTCAGATCCCTGTAGATGACTCCAATATGATGCAGGTAATCAAATGCTTCAGTCACACAAGAAGTACAAAATTTTGCCGTGAACTCATCAAAGCAACCTCTGTGGCAAAAGGAATACACTGAGGCACATTGTCAGTCAAACTTTTCGGATAAGATAGACATTTACTATAAAAATTTAACAAAGCTTGTGTCAGAAAGATGAGTAAAATGTCTTTGCACAGATATTAGGTCAGCTCACCTATCTCTAAGGATGCTCCAAATCTCTCCTCCAAGACAAGCTTCCAACAGCATGTAAACATACTTGTTGTCTTTAAAACTGCGAAATAGTCTACAACATCAAAAAAGGAGAAATCATATGACTTGACAAAGCTCACTTAAATTCTTAATAAAGGTTTACAAGGTTGGGGATGGTGTTTGCTGGACAAGGGTGGTGAGTAGACAGAATTCAGAAGGAACCTGCCAACAGCCATGATGTGCTGGGATTTCACAGTGGGAGGAATACCCACCTTCTGAAGCTGCCAGCCAATCTGCCTCACCAGCAGCACCAAGCTCAGTCATAGGTGCTGCCAGGACTCCAAGCAGTCCTAAGACTAAAACCTTCAGGACTCAGATTCAGACTCAAACCAGGCAAGGAGACAACATTGAAAGGGAAGGATTGGTGACCTTAGCGAGGGCTGAAAGGTGAGCAGAGGAGGTGAGCAGAGGAATAAGTTTTAAAGTCCCTGTGGGGAGGAAAAGAAGCTTTAGGGTGCACTAGGGTTTGTACATCTGAAATTGGCGAAGTTACCAAAGTTAATTGGAAACAGTTGCACCATATTGCAATGTTGCGATGTGGTTGATGCTTAACTGTCCTCTGGGCAACTAGGGATGAGTGATAAATGCTGGCCTAGCCAGAGCCACCATCATCCCATGAATGAATCAAAAATGAAATTGCTAGATTAGCATCTGAGATATATTTTATTCATTCATGGGATTAGGACATTACTGGTTCGGCCAGTATTTATTGCCCATCCTTGGGCTCCCTCGAGCTGCCTTCTTAACCACTGCAGTCTAAGTGCTGTCAGTTGACCCATAATGCTGTTAGGGAGGGAATTCCAGGACTTTGACTGAGTGACCGTGAAGGAATGACGGTATATTTACAAGTCAGGATGGTGAATGGCTTGGAGGGGAACTTGCAAATATTGGTATTTCCATGTATCTGCTCCCTGGGTCCTTCATAATGGAAGTGATCATGCATTTGGAAGGTGCTATAAAGAATGCTCTGGTGAATTTCTTCTAGATGGTGTACTCACTGCTGCTACTGAGCATTGATATTGGAGGGAGTGGATGTTTGTGGATGTGGGGCCAATTAAGCGGGCTGCTTGATCTAGATGGTGTCAAATTGAGTTTTTTTTGGAGCTGGACTCATCCAGGCAAGCGTGGAGTATTCTATCACACACCTGACTTATGCTTTGTGGACAGAGACAGGTCTTGAGGAGTCAGGAGGTTAGTTACAAGTTGCAGTATTCCTAGCCTCTGGCCTGCTCTTGTAACCATTGCACTTACATGGCTAGGCCAATGGTAACCCCTAAGATATTGATAATAGGGGATTCAGTGATGGTAATGTCGTTGAATGTCGAGGAGGGGTGGTTAGATTGTTTCTTCTCTCTCTCTTATCTGGGTCTCTCATTTGGAGAAGAAGGATCGAGAAACAGCATTCTGATCAGCAAAATGATCATTCTCCAAACCCTGTGGATGAAGACAACTGAACTACTTTCCCAGTCATTCCCTCCGTCCACAACACCCATGTGTTTTTATGTGTTTGCTTGCATGTGTGTATAAAGCAGAACTTTATGAGTTGACCAGAGTTTTACCTAGCAGATTTATATTTGAAAGGTTCATAATTGTTTATTTGCAGTTGGAATCTATTGATTTGGAATAAATAGCCATTCTTGTTAAGTTCAGAAACTGGGCTATGCTTTCTGTCCATGAAACATCATGTGATCCTAGCCAATGCTGAAGAATCTCAGGGCAACTGCTGCCTGACTGTATACCACTGTGCCACTGTCTCTGGTAGGCCCATCCTGTTGGTGGAACAGATGGTGGTGTCTGTAAGGTATTATTTCATAATTATGACTACACTAATTGCCATTGTCATTTCTAGTCCATGGGTCAATGGTGGCTGTTCCCATTTCTTTTCTGAGGCTTAATTTCAATTTGATAGAGCTGAATAGCTAGGTCAGTAGTGTGGATCTGGAGTTGGGAGGCGACAGCCTAGTGGTATTATTTCTGGACTGTTAATCTAGAAACCCAGATAATGCTCTGGGGACCGAGGTTCGAATCCTGCCACAGCAGATGGTGGAATTTGAATATAATAATATTCTGGAATCAAGAATCTGATGATGACCATGAGTCCATTGCTGATTGTCAGGAAAAACCCCATCTAGTTCACTAATGTCCTTTAGGGAAGGAAACTGCCATCCTTACCTGGTCTGGCTTACATGTGACTCCAGACCCACAGCAATGTGGTTGACTCTTAACTGCCCTCTGGGAAATTAGGGATGGGCATTAAATGCTGCCTAGCCAGTGACACCCTCATCCCATGACTGAATAAAGAAAAAGAAATGGAGACCAAACCAGGTACGGAAGGGACAGGAGACTACTTTCCATGAAAGGGTGTAGTGAAACTAATGATCTTTTATGACAAATCGCAAAAATTATGGTGTCACCTTGATTTTTAGGAGAACGTTTAATTCCAGCTTTATGAATGGATTTTACATGTCACTATATGGGATTCAAACCCATACGTCCAAAGCATTAGCCTCTGCACCTAGATTTCTAGTTCAATTACATTAGCATAATTTACCACCTTCCTTTATCTAATATCTATTGTACTGGAGGTATGAGGCTTGCATATGCATAAACACAAATGAGGAGCAATAACTAGAACATTGGTGATATTTCCTTATGCAAAGAACTAGATGTTGGCTGTTTTGAAAATGTATATGCAGTACACAAATCTAGAGTGTCCTCTATGTATTCCACAGAAGTACACTTATTAACTAAAAGATAACATTATAGGAAAAAAAATCCTTAAAGAATAAGCATTGTAAAGATAGCATTCAAGGTTATGAAATTCATTGCATTCATAATCAATTTGATTGCTACATTCTAATTTGTCACTATCTCTCTGGATTGATTCATTTATGCATTCCATATTCAATTTTTAAAAATTCATTTACGGGATGAGAGCGTCACTGGCCCATTTATTGCCCATCCCTAATAGCCCAGAGGGCAGTTCAGAGTCATCCACATTACTGTGGGTCTGGAGTCACATGGAGGTCAGACCAGGTAAGGATGGCAGCTTCCTTCCCTAAAGGACATTAGTGAACCAGATGGGTTTTTCCCAACAATCGACAATGGATTCATGGTCATTATTAGATTCTTATAGAATATCTTCCAGATATTTATTGAATTCAAATTCCACCATCCGCCGTGGAGGGATTCAAACCCGGGCCCCCAGGACATTATCTGGGTCTCTGGATTAACAGTCTATTGATAACACCACTAGGCCATCGCCTCCCCTCTTGCATTCCAGTGAGTATTCACAATGTTTTTTAAACAGTTTAGATACTTCATTTAAGGCAAAATCACATTTTTCTTGTAATTGTCTCCATTTGAAGCTTTCCTAGACATGACACAAAGAGGACGCAATAATAAGAATAGCCACTCAAAAACCATTACTGGATCTACTTTCAGTTTTTTTTCTGCAAGAAGCTCAGTACATGCAGACTGACTGCCATCCCTTTCATAGGGCAATTAACGGACTCAGGCAACTCAACATGATTAATCTCTGTCCTCCTTAATACTGCACATTGGTACTCAAAATGCCACAGTGCTGTTTACGTCCTCAATATTCAAAGGAGCTGGTAATTGTCGCTGGTGCATTGATAGAGTATTGTAGCTACTAGTCAGTAAATCTCTGGCTTAAGCGACCTTTTTTTGGGGGCTGCATTTTCCTCTGGTACAGTGGAGCAAGGTGGAAAATCGAATGCAGTGTCTAATGCTAATCATTATGGAAATGCTATGGGACCCCACTACATCCCCTCAGGTTGCAAATTCAGTCGAAAACTTGATCTTTGGATGCTTTAGTTTGAAAGACACTGGCGACAGTACCAGAGAGAACTAAAAAAGAAGGGTCCAGACCCGAAACGTCAGCTATCCTGCTCCTCTGATGCTGCTTGGCCTGCTGTATTCATCCAGTTCCACACTGTGTTGTCTCATTATCTTTGACTTGCCAGTTTACAGCAGCCACAATGGAAATCCTGTTTTGACCTTGCTAGAAGGAGTGTAACTACCTCTCTTCCTATCCACCATCCAATCCCCAGACCAGGGGTTCCAGCAGCTCACACAGACCTTTCTTACAAACTTTGCATTCAATCTTTGGAGTGTAGCTGTCCCGTTTAACATTACTTTTTCTTGCTCTTTTAGTTGCAGAAGTGCAGCAGTGCTCATCTCCTCTCACCGGTTGGAGTTTGTAATATTTTTCACTGACCACTGGATAAAACACTGAATAATAGTAAACTCCAGCTCCCCTCCCCTACCCCATTCTCATTCCCTCTCATCACATTTTACACTCATTTCCCATGGTTAGAAGATCAAGGCTTATACCACGATACCACTGTGAGCCAGAGTGAGGAGGGAGACCCCAGAAACTATCTCAACTCGTATGGGGATTAAACTTCTGCTTTTGATGCCATTCTGGATTACACAAAATCCCCCATTATATTAGAAAAAAGAACTCAAGTTATTTATTATGTTAATTTCTGAAAGGTAAATGTGTATAATTTATCTTCAATTGGCATTAAATTTCAGATCTTACTCTAGTGATTAATATTAACAAATCAACTTCATACTTTTGACAATTGTCACTTCATTTTCATTCCATAAAGGAAAAGTCTTGACCTTCCAGATCATGCTCCATATTTAATTTTATGTTGAGCTCACCTTCTTCAGCTGCTAAAGGAAGGCAGACCTGATCTTTCTGTTCTGACCACAAAGTCACTGAGCTGAATTTTATTCGGTTTAAGTCCAAGTTGCGCAAGATCTGTAGAGAGATTTCTGCCTTGAGGCCTAACAAGTTTCCTCACTGTATCTTACCAGACACACTTCATTAACCAGGCACCTTATGGCATCCATCATCATACCACATGTCACTCTCAAAACAATCTGTCGGATATCCCTGAATTCACCAGCATTCCTTGCGCCTGCACCATATTTAAACATTCGGACAAACACAGTCAAACGGGAGCAACCCTGCATGGTTTCTGCCAGTTGCCTCAAACATGG